GAGTTGTTTCTGAATCTTCTAATCTGTTCTATTGATCCTCAGGTACATTTTTTTGCCAATGCCATGCTGTTTTTATCACAGTGATTTTCAAGTTAGGGATTGTGATGTCCTCTGCCTTGCCTTTGTTGCCCAGAATTGCCTTTGTTATTTTAGTTCTCTTCTGGTTCCAAATGAATTTTAGGATGGCGTTCTCTAATTCTGTGAAATATGCAGTTGGAATTTTGATCGGGATTGCATTAAATCTGTATAACCATTTTGGAAGTAAGGCCATTTTCACTATACTGGTTCTTCCTACCCAAGAACAAGGGATATCTTTCCATTTTCTGATATCCTCTTCTATCTCCTTTTTCAGAGTACTGTAGTTTTTCAATGTACTTCCTTCATTAGATTGATTCCTAGGTACTTCATTTTCTTAGAAGCTATGTGGCTGGAGAGAGCGAGCTTGCCAGCTCTGCTGGGTCAGAGGCCAGGACAGATGGCTTCACTCCTGCTGTAGACAGGGACAGGAAGAGGAAGAACAAAAATCTCAAGCCAGGTGCAGTGGTGCACGCCTGTGATGATCACTGTGAGCTTCAGGCCAGCCTGAACTACACATCAAGACCCAGTCTCCAACCAAACTCCATAACTCTTCCCAGAACGTCCAGGGTGGAAAGGCCTCAGCAGAAACCCCCCAGGGGTCACACGGGCTCCTGAGACCCTGTGCTGGGTCTCTCGGTGCCTCCTCTCCAGCCTGGCCCTGAGCCAGACATTAGCTGTGAGAACACACGCCGGGCTGGGGAGACCCTCATCCTGTTCTGGCCCTGCCTCTCCTCCAGGGAGCCCTACATCATTGCGCTGATGTCGGTCACGCTGCCCACACACCCTGAGGTGCCCGAGTACCACTGCGGGGAGACGCTGTGCTCAGGCTTCTGCCTGTGGCACGAGGGGGACCAGGTGACCAAGGTGAGACACCGTTCCTCATTGAGCTCAGTGCTGTTAGGGCAGGACCACTCCAGACCCTGCCACTACCTCCGGCCTCCTCCCTGTCCCAGCCCAGGAGAGCCAGGGGCTGAAAACCTACGCATTAAGATCTAAGAGTCAGAAGCTGCTTCAGGGGCTTGGAGAAAGCTCTGAGGTTGCACGCAGAAGACCTGGTCCCATCTAAAATCCTACCTCATTATTTACCCGGATCTCACTTCTCCAGGAAGGCTTTATATGGCTCCCAGGGCCCATAAAACTCAGGGCAGTCGGTGTTGATCGGAAAGGTGGGCAGGAGGCTGGAGGGGGTGCCACAGCTTCCTGCATGGCCCCCAGCTTCTGCAGCCTTGGGCTGGCCCGGGTGGGGACTCAGCCAGTGGCTGCTACATTAACACACTTGTACCAGGAGCACCTTGGAGCAGTCCCTGGGCTGATGCCTGGAGTGTCTGTGGTCCCGCAGCGCCCTAATTAAAGAGGACTCAGTGCTGGGTTTCTGGGGACCCACCAGGGGCTCCTGGCTGGCAGGGAAGATGCTGGTGACCGTCAACACCCAAGGGAGGGTTAAGGTGAACCTGGTGGAGGAAGTTATGCCTGGCAGCTGGACAGTTTTCTAACTGACCCTCAAGATACCAGGGAGCTGGCTTGTGTTTGCTGCCCTCCCAGAAGCTGGGCATCCCAGCGCCCCCTGCCTTCCCTTTGTCCCTTTCCAAGCACGGCTTCTGCCCTGCAGGTGTCCTACTACAACCAGGCCACCCCTGGATTGCTCAACTACGTGACCACCAATGTGTCTGGTCTGTCCTCAGAATTCTACTCCACATTCAAGGCATGTGAACACTTCCTCCTGGACAACCGGAATGACCTGGCCCCCAGCCTCCAGACCCTGTAGGCACCCACCCCATCCTGCCCAAGGACTTGTGCACAGCACAAGGAGGAAGGTTTATTCATCCTGCTTCCCCCGGAAGCCTTGGCCCAGCACTGCCAGGCAATCAGTTCCTGCCAACGTCTGCCGGCAAGTTTTGGCGCTGGCCCCGGGGCAGCCTGTAGTAGACTCGGCTTCTGTCCTCAGCCCTGGCCACCAGCAGCCCCAGCTGCACAGCTGCAGGGCTGCTCCTGGTGTGGCTGTTTTGCACAGTGACAGTGGCCCTAGGGGAGGCCGCCAGCAGCCTGGCCACTACGTCTGTCTTGCTCTGGCCCAGTGGCCCTGCCTGCAGCTGGAAGGACACAGGTTGCCAGAGCCCCTGGCACAACTTCAGCATATCTGTGACCAGCTGCTCTTTTTTAAAATCTCCTTGCCCTCTCCTTCCTTCCCCTACCCTTTCCTATTTGCAAAAGGTCTGTTTCCCTGTGAAACAGGGACTCATTCTGCAGCCTCAAACTGTCAATCTTCCTGCCTTAGGATCTCTGAATACACTTCTTAAAGCCCTCAGGTCAGTCACATGGAGATAGGGATTCTGGACAATCACATCTAAAAGATTCAGGGAAACTCAAAACAGTTTGGTGAACCATTTGTTACATTAATCTCTGATCCTGATGGAATCCCAACCATGCTTTTGTATTAACTAGGGCTGAGTAATGGCATCTTTGATCAGAATCCCTTTCTGTCTCCAGAAAGGAAGGGAGATGGAGCTAAAAAAGAGAGCAGACGGAATGTGCTCTCTGGTGTGGCAGAGAAGAAAGCAATCATGGTTTTCTTCAAGATGACTGAGATTGTTACCTTTCCGTAGCTGGTGCTTCATTCAGTCCCACAGCCATTTTCAGGCACTTCCTCTGTGCAGGCTACAGAGAGATGAATATGGAACGTGGCACGGTCTTGAAATAATAGCCTTACAAGCAAATAATTACACTACAAAGTAATGGACTCACGCAGCAATAACAGCAACGCTCCAGATGCCACTGAAACATGGAGAGGGCAACCTGTCCCCCACGACCCCTCAGTCGTGCAGACCAGGACTTGGGAGGCAGCCTGGACTCCTCACTCCACAGGGCTCTGATGCATGGTCTCTCTCCATGTGCATCAGAAATGCCTCTGGATGCCTCATCTCTCCAAGGCCTTGCCCAGGCCCTTAGCTCGATGGCTGCATTATCAGTTGTCAACTCTGTCTGGACTTCATACTTCGTCCCACTAGAGGTCTAATTTCTCATCCCCCCCTTTCAGCTAATTCCCCCCAAACAACTGCCTCTGCTTCGTGTCTGTAACACTAGCTTACTGGCCCACAGTGTTCTCTCCACCACACCACCAAAACTGCTCTCTCTCCTGTGTTGCTGAGCCATATGATTAATTCTTACCCTTTGCTTTTTAGACCTATCACAATTCCATGCTATTGATCACACTTCCTCCACTGCAATGCCTTCTTTCCTTGACCTGCAGGTTGCTATACCTTCTGGTTTTCTGGCTGCCTTCCTCATTGGCCTTTCCATTTCAGGCCAGTTTCGCCTGTTGCCCATTCCTTTTCATGTCCTTGAACTTCGATGTGCTCGCCTATGAACTAGGCTTACAGATCTGTCTGCCTAACTCCAAGCGAACGCGACTCCACCCCCCAGCTTTTTCCTTTCCAACAAAGAGCAATGCCATTTTTCAGTTACCCAGACAGAAAAGTTAGAGTTTTCCTGAATTCTTCTCTTACTGTCTATACCATATACAATCCATCAGAAAATTTTGTTTACTCTACCTTGCAAATATGTCCAGAATCACCTTTTATTACTTCTACCAGCATCACCTGGTTCAAGCCATGATCATATCTTCTCCAAATTATTGTATTACTAAAGGTGGCTCACAGGTAGATCCTGCTCACTGTGTGCCAGGAACTTGCTATGCGTTTTACATGCGTTCCTTCATTTACTCTTCATGATAGCTCTAGGAGGGTGGTATCACTATTACCCCAACTTAAAAGGGAGAAAGGGAAGCCCGGGAGGTTGAGTGACTTGTCTAGGACTAAGTAATGGAGCAGCTCTCCTTCCTTCCACTCTTGGCTCCTGTCAGTCTATTCCCACATAGACGCCAGAGTGATGTGAATGAAACATCAGAGTGTGTCCTTTCTTCACTTGGAACTCTTCAGTGGCTCTCTACCTCATTCAAACTAAATTTAAGACCTTATAATGGCCTTCAATGTCCTACTTAGGATCAACAAACTACAGCTCTCAGGCCATTTTAGCTTGTTGCTCATTTAAACAAAAAAAGTTTTATTGAAACACAGCCACACTCATTTTTAAAACAAAAATCAGTAGCTGCTTTCATGCTACAGTGGCAAAGTAGAGCAGTTGCAAAAGACTGCACACCCTCCGCAGCCTGAAATATTTACTATCTGGACCTTCACAGAAAAAGTGTTTGCCCATCCCTGTCCTATACAACTTGTCATTCTTCATGTCCCTGATCTCTTTTACACACAGACACACATAGACACACACACACACCCTTGATCTACTTTGCTTCGGCTTCAGACACACTGGCCTCCTTGGTTCTTCTAGGCCCCAAAGCTATCTCAGGCCCTCAAAGCTCTGATCTTAGCCTCTGCCCTTGCTGGTCCCTCCACCCAAAGCCTCCCCCCAGGAGTTGGGTTGCTTCACTTCCTTGGCCCCTTAGGCCTTTTACTCACCTTCTCACTGAGCCGTTCTCTGATCACCTTACCAAAAATGGCAGAGTCTTAGCCAGGAGAGCTGGTGCACACCTGTAATCTCAGCACTCTGGAAGCTGAGGTAGGAGGATCAATGCAAGTTCAAGACTGGCCTGGGCTACATAGTGAGTTCAAAGCCAGCCGGATCTATATAGTGAGACCCTGTTTCAAAAAAACAAAAAGAAAACATACAAACAAACCAAAAAGGCAGCCCCATCTACACTCCCTGCCCTCCTCCCCTACTTTATTTTTCCCACCACTCTCAATACCATCCGAAATACTATATATATTTTTATCTCTTTGTTGCCTCCTCTGTGCCATAGGATGTAGACTGCATTTGGGCAGCAGTCAGTGGTTGTCTTGGGTGCCTCTAGTGCCTAGAACAATGCCTGGCACATAGTGGGCATTCAGGAAATATTTGGAGAATGGATGGATGCATGAGATACTTCCTGTTTCTTGTGGTCTCCTTTCTTTTCTGCTCCAGCACCCACACTGCTACTTCCACACAGAGCCTCGTTTTCCTTCAGTTACCTCCAGCCCTGTGTGAGAAAGCTGCTTCCCATGACACACGTGGTGTGGCCTCCCTTGGCCTGGGCCAGACCCTCTTCTCCAGCCACATCTCTACTTGAGCTCCCCTCTCAGGGCCTAGGCACCACTACGCCTGACCTTTCTTTCATCCATCTTTGATGTCCTTTGGTGACCCGTTGTTTATGTCATGCCTTGCTCTCTGTGTCTGGACCATCTTCCCCTTACTCTGCTGTCCACTTCCGTGTGGTCCTTTGGAAAGTTCCTTGAAACCCAGATCACAGGACACTTCATTTGGGGAGCCTCCCCAGACCCTCCTCCTTGGTGTCCTGTTAAGCTCTGACACTCAGCATGCTCCCAAAGAGTGTGAGACCCTTACTGCATGGCATGGTCACCTTTGACTCACATTTAAATTATAGGACTATGAAATAATGTGGCATAGGATACTAACAAACCGTAATGCTATGTCTACAACTTCAAAATAATGCAACTGTCCCCAATTTAAAAGTTCATCAAGGCTCATGATTTCAAAGGTGGCTGTCAATTGCAAATGGCCACACGGTGGCGCCACGCCAGCAGATAAAAAGAAACCCTGCCCCTGAGCTGCTAGCACTCTGATCTGGCTGCTGTTCACAAGCACTGGGAATTCTGTGAGTGATTGTGGCAGCTTTATTCAGGTTTTGTGCCTAAAAAATCTAAACGACATATAAATGTCATCCTAGCAGCCCACAGCGGTGGTACTGAAATTGCTCCCAAACGGAAGGGACACAGCAGAAACATAGCGCTCCCATCACCAAGAGCATTGCAACTGCTTCTGCAAGATCAGGGCCACGCTGGGCTCTTTACCAGGCCTCCTCTTACAGGCAGCCTGCCCCACGCACTGCTCCCTCCCTTCGTAGCCTCTCCTGGGCTGGCTAAGGACTCATCTTTCCCCTGGACCCTGAGCAACTTGAAGCCAGGCACTGTGTGGGCAGCCCTGGTGTCAGCACAGTTGGCCCTCATCAGAGATTTGTTAGGTGGATGAGAAACAGAGGCAGGACAGGGCATGGGCACTGGTGGGAAGCTTGAGAGAAAATATATATACCTTTGAGGGAAAATTTAGGGCCTGTCTCCAGCCCGTTTGTCTACACGGGCCATTCCACCCCATGTGTTGTTTCTCTCCGCTCCAGTAACCCATGCAGAACTTCTGAGAGTAAGCAGGGAGCAAGTTCTCTCTACTCTTGGGTTCTCTGAGTTTTGGGTTGGGGGGATTATTAATTAATGTGTTTCTTCTTGGCCAGGGGTGAAGAGGCAGGGGGAGGGAGCAGATGGTATGTTCAAATTTTGTAATTGGAGCAGACTTGAATAAAGGACCACTTACAAAGGCATGGGCGGGGTGTGGGCCCCATGTCTGATGGAGTGTCCCTGGGTTAGCTAGGGAGTGGGTGGCCTGACTGGGATTGCAGTGGTCACTTGTGAGGAAAGGCCACCTTGACCAGAGCCACGTGACCTCGCCCAGAACACATCCGAGTCTGAGATGACCCAGCAGGAAGGGAGCAGGATGTGGATAAGTCAACCTCATCATCCTCCTGTCTTCCCTGTCCTGGTCCTGCTCCTCATGGTCTGAACCCCATCAGCACAGGACTAAGGGGCCCATGGATGTATCCATAGGTTGGTTTCCAGGGGTCAGAGGGCAGGGGGAGGAAGACAAGAGGGAACCCAAAAGGGCCCTGAAGCCATCTGGCCCCAGGGTCGAGGCCCCTTCTCACACAAATCACATCTAGAGCTTGAACTTCTCCAAACCCTCCCTCATTGTCTCCAGCTCAGAGCAGTAGTGGTGACAGAGGCTGAAAGACTTGTTCTGCATTTTCACTCTTCTTTGAAATAGTTTCTATTTCATACCTGTAGTTCTAGACCATTGTAGCTTGGCCTGAGCATTTGCCTTTGCTTTTGAGCTGGCCATTTCTAGCAAATAGTGGCCCCCAAGCCTGCCATCTAAAGTGGGGGAGGGGGGTCGAGCAGTAGTTGAACATTTTGGTAAATTTCTAAAACAATCCTCTACCATAGTTCACGCTTACTGTTTACGGTGTGCCACACCCAGCGCAGCTCATGAACCCTTGCCTAGCTCAACAGTGGCAACCCCCACTCCACCCCATACAGATAAAGAATGGTATACAGCCAAGAGAATGAGACAGGGCTCCTTTCCTGAAGGAGCTGGCCATCCTATTGTAATAGTTCAGTTTAGTTTAGTTATAACGAGTAGACAGAGAGACCTGACAACAGTGAAAGTGAGGCAGGAGATTAGGGCATGGCCAATTGGCTGAGCAAGTGGGCTTGACCTGCCAATCATGGAGATCCAGGACACATGTGCACATAGTTCTCGAGGGCTGCACCTGAGACCAATCAGAAAGTGCTATCTTCAACTCTCCTGAAACAAATCAAGCCAGTTTTTGATGGGATGGCCTTGATCTGATGTTAGTCTGAAGAATAAGGGATACAAAGTCCTCCACCATTAACCTCATGGCCACTGTGAACTCTCAATGGCACATTCTCACCCTGCAGAGCATATTTCTTTTCCTACCTTTAACAAGTGTAAAACCTTGCTACCTATTTCAGATGTCTCGTGCAGTTGTTTCAGGACACCAAGGACCTGGGAAGAGTCTACAGAATCCAGTAATAGTAGCATCAGATTTTTTAAAATAGCCCAGTCAAGTTAAGAACTAATTCAAACACCTAATTCAAGCTTAAAGATACAAAGGTAAACATGACAGTAAAAGATAAAAAGTTGAGATGAAAATAGAAAGATAAGAGGTCTTCCTTCCAGGAAGAAGACTCTTATCTAAAATATGCTAAGTTAAATTTTAACAGCCCCTTGTTACCTCCAGATTTGGCCAATCTAAGCGTGCGCTCTGATTTAAAAGTAGCTGTAATTGTTTTTTGTGTTCTATGGGTTTCTTGTTTGCTCAATTGTCTGTTTAATCTGTTTTAATAACTGATTAAGGTACCTACAGCTGCTTAATTAAACATTTTTTGAGCAAGTATCAATTTCATTTTTCCTTTTATTTTTGTCCTTATGAACTTCTGACCCTTTGGGGCCTCAAAAGAAAACTGAATATATGTGTTTTCAGTATAGCCAAACTCACTTAATGTATTTTTTAAAATGGCAGGCTTCATGCCTACATGAGGCTTACAGGTAAAAACCTTAACATTTGATAAAAAGGTTGTATATGTATGTTTCTATGTGTTAATTTTCAGATATACGTTCTGTTTTGTTTGGCTAGTAGATAAATGGACACTCATGAGATTAGCCCACACAATTTAACAGTAGACTAATTTAAATAGGTTGATAAGAATAAAAATATTCTTCAGTGGTAGTCAGG